TTGGAGTGTGGGGTGTGAGTGTGTGTGTGAGGGTGTGTGTGTGTGTGTGTGAGAGAGTGTGTGTGTGTGAGTGTGTGAGTGTGTGACAGGTTGAGCATGGACGCGAGTTCATGTATGAAGCAGGCAAATTGCATGCGTGCATGCAAGAGAGAGGGAGGAGGCTCACCTCGAGGGAGCGCATGAGGGCGTCAAGGCCGGAAACGATGTAGGACTCGTCGTCGAGGACAACGCAGCGGCTGCACTCTGCCAATGCCGTGGCGATGGCCTGTGTGCAGTTTTTTTTTTGGGGGGGGGGAGGGGTAAGCAAGGGAGGGGGTGTTGGAGAGGGGGTTGAAAGGGGTGAGTGAGTGAGTGAGGAAGAGAGTGAGAGTGAAACAGTCAGTGACAGAGTGAGTTTGTGTGTGGGGGGGGGGGTGGTTGGGGCAACGCAGAGACGGCGTTGCAAGCGGACAACACGTGATGATGCACACACACACACACACGCACAAGTGTCGCAGAGCAGCGAAAAGTATGCACGCACCTTGGCGTGCGCCATGTCGGACTGGGAGCTGATGGACAGGGGCAGTGGGCGAGAGGCAACGCTGCCATACTCGCTCATCTCCGCCACGTCCGCATCATCCGCGAAGAACACCTACAGATGGAAAAGAGTCGGCGAAGTGGGGGGGGGGAATGAGCGGGTGAGTGAGTGAGTGGAGGGGCAGTAAAAGGGCAGGAAAGGGGAAGGGAAAGGGAAAGCGGATACCTGCAAGCAAGCAAGCAAGTACAGGATTGCAGAACAAAGCACACATGCGAACACACTTCGATGGAGCCGTGGTAGTTGTCCTGTTGCCTGAGGTTCTGCACAATGACTTGTGCCCTGTTTCGAGTTGTGCGCGGCGGGGTTTGTGCGACGAGGTTAGTTGTGTGAGCTGCTGTCAGGAAGGACATCGGTGCGGTCAGGGTTTGTTTGTGGATGCATGCAAGCAAGCACGCGAGACAAGAAGGTGGTGTTGTGGAGAAGGGGACGTGGAGCGTGTACCTCGCAGTGTCTGTGGCGACGAGGACAAGGCCAAGGCCGGAGCCCTGGTTGAGCTGTAGTTGTGCTTGTTGGTTGTGCGAAGAAGACTGTTGTGCTCGTTGGCGAAGCTGTGCAAGGTTCAGCTGCATGGGAAGTGCTGGATGATGATAGGGGGGGAGGGGGAGTGTGATGGAGGTGGGATGTGAGGATGATGGGGGATGTGAGGAGAGGGTGTCTTTGCTTGATGTGTGTGGTGGATGGTTCGCATCATCACGAAAAGCACATCGTTGGCCAGTACAGTGCACCAGTCTTGCGTCGTTGTGTATCGCATGCAGTGCCGTGAACTCCACCAATCGATCACACACACACACATACACATACACATATACACACGACAACAAACGAACATGCTAACATGCGCTGCGTGCGCACACACACGCACACGCACCCACGCACGCATGCATGCTGGCAGGGCACATCCACCACCATCGCACAACGACTCACGTCGAGCGGCGACCAGGAAGGCGAAGCACAGCACAAGCGCTGCGCATGCCTGCACACCATGCGATGACAAGCGCATGGCTGGACGGTGGCTGCTGCTGTGATGGGAACAAGGAAGCTGGCTCGGGCTCGCTGTGGATGGATGGATGGATGGAAGCGGGGGGTTGGTTGGTTTTGGCGCAACAAGCAGAGCAAGGTGAATGAATGAACGAGTGTTCGAGGTGGGGGTTGGATAGATGCAACCACTACGAGTGGACCAACAGGCACAATGAATGAACTGCGCCGAATGAATGCAATAGCGGCAGTGGATGGATGGGTGGGGCTTTGAGGGTGGTGCTTGCTGGTGCAAGCTCGCACAACTGCTGCTGTTGCTTGTGAGTGGGTGGGTGAGGAGGGACTCACCTTCAAAACTGATGGGCACCACGCCGCAAGTACAAAATGGATATGGTGGCGGGGGGGGGAGCGGAGCGGAGCGTGGTCGGAGGAGAGGGTGGGTGCACAAGACACACAGGCGTGAGCGGAAGCGATGTGGAGGTAGGTGAGAGAGGGTGTGGAAAGGATTTTGGTGGTCGCCAACACAGTGCACGGGGAATGTGGTGTGCACATGAACAAGACGAGGCAGAGGACGGACCAAACACACACGCACAAGGGGACGGACAAACCCGCACGCACGCATGCAGGGGAGGGCGAGGCACACACACAGCGATGCAAGCAAGACACACAGCCGCACCCCACCTGGCTCAAGCGTCGCACGACAAAACACCAACGCGCGTGTGTGTGAGTGTTTGAATGAGTGGCTGTGGCTGGTCAGGTGTCAGTGAGTGAGTGAGTGAGTGAGTGTGGAGTGAGCGGGTGCAGTCAAAACAACACACACCCAAAACAGCGTGCGTCGCCAAAACAATCACAACGCCAAGTTTTTCTTCTCTCTCTGTGTGCGTGTGCGCTGTGGCCGCGGCGGGGCGCAGGCGGAATTTTTAATTTTTTTGCCTCTTTGCTGGTGGCGTTTTTGCTTGCATGCAACCCGCACGACGCACCGCCCAGCAGAGAACAATGGCCTCTCTGTTTCATTTTGGCGTTGGAGAGTGCGCATTTTGGTTGGATGCATGGAGATGGTGGATAGACGACACAAAGTATATGTGTCGGTGTGAGAATTTGTGGTGTCGTGGTGGAGGTGTGTTTGGTGTGTGTGTGTGTATGTGTGTGTGTGTGTGTGTGTGTGTGTGTGTGTGTGTGTGTGTGTGTGTGTGTGTGTGTGTGTGTGTGTGTGTGTGTGTGTGTGTGTGTGTGTGTGTGTG